TCTGAATAAGAGATTCAGTCTCGTGTATGCTTGGCTGGCAAGGCCTCCGTCCCTTACCACGCGCGCCTCAGGTCACCGGCTACCTGCGCCGCTCCCTCCACGGCGTCCGCACAGCGCAGTTGGTAGCGTGGCGGGCCGCCAACCCAGAGTTTGGGGTTCGATTCCCGACTTCTCAGAGTACATCTGAGAAAGTGGTGACTCGAAGGATGGCATAAGGACCATCAATCAGACCCACGGAGATTACGTTCGAACAAAATTCTCATTTTGAAGCTTGATTTGGAAGAATAACGACTGTTTACAAATTTTGTAACCGTTACGAAATTCTGTAACTAAGTTACAAAGAAAAAAATTGTATCCATCGTGATACAAATTTCTGTAACACATGTTATTGAAAAAGCTGCGTAACCATGTTACAAAATTCTGTACTGATTTTTTTAGAGTGTTCCCCTAAAAACCAATTCTACATTTAGAATGTTCAATTAATAGGGTTGAGAAATACACTGAGATTCCTTACGCTATGAGTATAGCACGTATGGTACAATGCAGCTGAGATATCGCACCATACGTGCAATGCGATAGCCATATTGCACCTTACGTACTATGCGTCCCGAAAATGCCCTATGCTAATGCATGGGAATGGGGAGGTATTGCACTTCATGTGCAATGCTTTTGCATCGCCCCACTGTGGCAAAAAGGTACGGAAAATTCTGTTATTTTTTTTTGCCAGGATTCTCCGTAGGGCCGTACAGTATTCTCCGCAGGACCGCACAGTCTTCTCCGTAGGACCTGGAAGACTGTATAGTCCTACTGAGAACACTGTTAGGTCGTACGGAGAATACTGAGCGGTCCTATACGTATACGGAAAATACTGTACGAGCCTACGGAGAACATTGACAAGGGGGCTACGGAGAATTACCACAAGGTTAACAGGATTTTCCGTAGCTTTTTGCCACAGTGCCCAATTGACGCTATACTGTACACAAAGCGTTTGGATTCTTAGTGTACTGCAGTCATTTGAGTCTAAACAAGACTTGTTTCGAGTACCAAAGGAGACTCGTAACACTCCTCTATGATTGTTTAAGTTCTTAAAATTGAAAAATCGCTATGAAAGTGGTGAGCCTGGTCCTAACCCGCCGCGTTCAAACGCTTAATCGTCTTTCCAAACAAGTATGAAACACGTGCTAGGGCAGTTTTGACTTCCGAATGTGCCGAGCTAGGCAGCACCTCCTAAGTAAGGTGGAAAAGCAGAAGTGTGTCAAGTTACCCCGGTTTACGGTAAGTGCCGCATGGTGGGGTGCGAAACGTCCACAGATACGACAAACCGATACTAAGTTTAATTTTGAACGTTTTAAACACTCTCATCCCAGTAACGTTCAAACGAGGGGGTATTCACTCTTGAAAATTGTCAACCGACCATTACCTTTCCGGAAGTATTACACCAATTACACCTATTACGCTTTTAATTACAAAGCTGGAATTTTTGAGCGTAAAACAAGCATTTTCGCGAGCATTTTTGGCCATTTCGGGCTAGTTTAATATTTATAAGAATGCGGTGATGCGTCCCTTTTATTGGGTGCAGGTTTTGTATGCGTAATGTTGATCTATCAGAACCGATAAGAACTTTTCAAGAAGTTCCAAAGGCAACAATGGTCTAAAAAGAAACGAAATTGCCACTTATTTTTCCTACTTGCTGCCCTTATTACCAATTACATTACAAAACTATTACAGATCAATTACATAGCGGACAACCGACTATTACCAGAGTGAATACCCCCTTGCGTTCAAACGAGTGTGACAAAATGTCACGTTCGTTTCGATGTGAATCAGCCATAACTTAGCTTATTTTCATTCAAACGAATGTGACACAATGCTCTAGGGAACGTGTCACATTCGTTTCAACGTGCCGTCAAGTTCCTGGAATGAGAGAGTGGTCTTTCTTCAACGTGTCATTTTAAGTATGAATTAGAGGCACGACTCATGAATGCAAGAATAAATTGAGACTTGCTTGCTCTATCTTATGCTACAAGGGCATTTAGGCTCCTTGCTCGTTTAATCGATTGTTCGCCCTGGGGCTTTCGCTACTCTACCACATGCATTATGTGACAGAACTGACAACTCACGTCACAACGGGTCAAACGAGGCAGAATCACTAATAATTATCGAATTTCCGTGTTATTTTATGTTTTCGGACGCCATTTTGGCACATACGCCCTCCCGCATTGGACCCTGCACGTTTTCAAAATGTGGAAATTTACGAAGATTGACAAGAACTGCCATTTACTATGTACAAAGGGTAATGAGTACTGACATCGAACACGAAACCCGAACGAAATGAGGCAAATGACCCGGGAAAACAGCAATATTTCGTACTTATGGACGTTTTCGGACGCCATCTTAGCAACTAAACCCTTCCACATTAGACCACTTATATTCCCAAAGCGTGGAAATTTACGAGAATTGAAAAGAACTGCCATTGGACGTGAATCACGAGCAAAAGGAGGAGAAAACCGTTTCAAAACACGGATATTTGGTGTATTTTGACGTTTTCGTACGCCATCTAGGCATTTGGGCCCCTGAAAAATGTGCAGATGGTTGGAAATGGTTACACAATATGTACCTTATATTATTTTACCCCTAAACTGTAAAAATAATACAGCGACACTTGTGCGTACCTCGATATTTTAGAAAAACAAGCTTTGTGGCGGCCATTTTGGACGCCATCTTGAATTTAGGGGCTTAAATGCAAAAATCGAGCTTGGCAACAGGGCGCATCGTTTTCAGCGGGGTCGAATTAGTCTAGAACCGCCTGTTGCCAGTTTGTAGCACAAATCGCCTCTCGACATGCAATTATCAGCAATCTTTCCCGGTCTAGTATTTTACTAGGCTCATTTTCATTATCCTTGAAATTTGAGAGATTTTGCCTTATTTTGGTCATGTATTCGGTTTTACAAGAAAACTAAGCGAGATATTAAACAAAGCCAACAGCATCTTTTTTTCAATGCAAAAATAAACACAATTGCCAGAATCTGAAGGATGGGTAGCTTTTACTTTGTCGTGAGGAGAATTTGAGAGAAATGACTTGAAGTTAACGTAAACATCCATAACTCAGAAACTATTCTGAGGTAGGGCCCTATTCCCAGTGTATGAGTTTATGCAATAGTAAGGAACTTTTACCCAAAAATTGAGACATCTTACACAAGTATTTTTAAAATGTTACATAGTCACTTTTTTTCACTATACAATAACCTTAAATCAATTGGTAAAGTTCCCATTTTTCGATCTTCCACGACGTTGCGTATCCGCTTTCAGCACTCCAGTGGCGTTCTCTCCCTTCAGCCTCAAGCACACCACCGAAATCCGATTGCTAGGGATTTAAAAAAAGTCCATGTACACTCTACCAAAAATGTCCTGTCAATGCCGTTAATTTATTACCAGTTTTCACTGTAGATCAATTCACAGCGTTTACTGTGATCTGCTCACGCGATTCACTGTGATCTTGATCACGGTGTTCACTGTGATCTGGTCTACAGTAAACACCGAGGGGTGAATCACTCAGCGTTCTGGTGTACACATGAGTACGGGTGAGTACACCCTCTCATACACACAAGTTTCACATTTTTAAACGTTTTTTGGCTTTATTTAGCGGTTTGGACAACACAGAACGTCAAATCTTGTAGAAAATTAGCGAATTTTGCTCTTTTATGTTTTCTGAGTACACTGAGTACGGGCCAATTTGTACACATGAGTACACTAGTGATCCACCCCTCGGTAAACACTGTGAGTTTGACGCCGCTGAGCACCGAGCAAGGGGTCAAAATTGAAAGAGCCTAACTCCGCACGCTCAGGCGAAGTCCGATTCGGATTCCTCGTCTAAACGTGATTCAGAATCATCTGAAAACAATAGTTTCCTTTTATCTCACTTCTTACTCCGCATGCTCTAGTCGAGGCCAGATTCAGATTACTCCCTCCTTGCCCCCACTCTGCCCAGCCTCCACTGTCGCAAATAGGTACGGAAAATTCTGTTAATTTTTTTCCCAGGATTCTCCGTAGCCCTCTTATCAATATTCTGCGTAGGCTCCTACAGTATTCTCCGTAGGGCCGTACAGTTTTCTCTGTAAGTCCGCACAGTCTTCTCCGTATGACCTGGAAGACTGTATAGTCCTACGGAGATCACTGTAAGGTCCTACGGAGAATACTGTGCGGTCCTACGGAAAATACTGTAAGAGCCTACGGAGAATATTGATAAGGGGGCTACGGAGAATTACCACAAGCTGTTTACAGAATTCTCCGTAGCTTTTTGCCACAGTGTCCCCGGCCGGTCCATCGCAATATCCCTTTGCCGAACTCTATCACCCCAAAAAAAATGTTAACGCTAACGTGAAAGTAGATGATAATGAGAATGTTCATTTACATGCACGGTGGTTTGATTTTATTCCACGATTTTATTCCACGATTCGTAGAAAAATAAGTCGGAGATGAATGTGACATTTGTTAACTAATTTGAAAGAGTAAACACTCGTAACTCTTTATTTGACAAATTTCTTACGCGTGGTCCAGCTGGTAACTCGGTTCTCTCCGCACGAGAGAAAAAGCACGCTGATACACTGCAAACCTAGCTGTCTACTAAGTACACACTTACAAATGCATGCTTGCAAGTACACACTTACAAACGCATGCTTGACGCATGGAGTTATACGGCGTCAAGCATGCGTTTGTAAGTGTGTACTTGCAAGCATGCATTTGTAAGTGTGTAGGCTACTTGGCCAAGCATGCTTTTGTAAGTGTGTACTTGGCCAAGCATGCTTTTGTAAATGTGTACTTGCAAGCATGCATTTGTAAGTGTATACTTAGTAGACAGTTAGGTTTGTAGTGTATACGTGAACATGTCATCTGCTAAACAAAACTTTGCTTTTCATGGTGCTGGCCCTGCTTTGGTTCGGTAACTGATGAGGGGGGGCACGAAGGGTTTCGAGGTCGAGTTCACGATAAGGGATCGAGGGGAACGCTGATTCCTTGGGAACGTCAGTGCGCAGACAGTCCGCCCGCAGCCAGCAACTTCACCAAGCATCTTGTCGTCGCCGTCCCCACAAACAACAAACCAAATTTCTGGAGCTCACGAAGGTACCTCTGGAGAAAATTGTTGCCCAACGAACCTACGCGACTTCACGACGATTCTTCGTATCGGAAGGTCGCGAAGGTTCTCTGTAAATCTCAACGAATCTTCGTAAATTTTAAAAGGTACGTTCCTTACAGAGCTGGGAGTCCGAACGCCGGCCGCCGCAGTCATGGCTGTGCTGACTTGGCAGCGGGGAGTCCTCGCGGTGGCCATCCTCGCCGCCTCCTCGGCGGTCTCTATGGGCGTTGCGTCACGCGGTAAGCGGCACTATTGGGCCCGACCCGTTCGCGGCAACGTACACACTAAATGTCATGGGACATTTTTAAGCGGTCTTGCTACCGCTTCTGGCTCTTCATCCGATCCCACTCATCTCATCCATACATCCATCCATTCACCGCGCTCACGACTTCTCTACAAACTGAAGTGTGTACTCAGTATGCATCTACAGACGCATACTTATAAGTACACACCTACAGATGCATACCTAGCTGAGTACACATCTACAGATGCATACCTGTTAAGTATGCATCTGTAGGTGCATACTTGGCAAGTATGCATCAGTAGGTGTGTACTTGTCACCATATAAATGCCCCGTAACAAGTACACATCTACAGATGCATACCTGTCAAGTATGCATCTGTAGATGTGTACTCAGCCAAGTATGCATCTGTAGATGTGTACTCAGCTAGGTATGCATCTGTAGGTGTGTACTTATAAGTATGCATCTGTAGATGCATACTGAGTACACACTTCAGTTTGTAGAGTTCATGGCTAGGTTAGGTTAGGCTTCACGACTGCATGGTCGTGGTTCGTCTGTCGTCGTCCTCCCTGTCATTATTGACTATTTTCAATGAAATTGCGTAGACTTTTTGTCAACAGCATACTGACTTTGAGTCAATATAACGAACAAAATCTTACAAAGACACAGACGAAATAGTACTTTTTATTGCTGCGTCAAACCTCTTTTCCAAAAGATGAAAAGTCAATGACAGATCTGTGTTCGAAAGGTTGCTAAGGAGTTAAGCTGATGCGTCCTCTTCACAGGCAGCCCCTGCACCAGCCCAGGCAACCGGCCCGGCTCCTGCATCCCCATGTTGGGGTGCGATCCGCTGACTGCGCTGTTTAAGACGAAGCCGAGCCCCGATGACATCATTGACGAGTACATGAATACCACCGAGACCCAGTGCGAGTGGGAGGACGACAGGGTGCGCCTGGTAAGTGTCGCCTGACGCTCGTCACTCGCGCGGCACCCTTGAAAGCTGGTGGCAATTTCGCTCGCCTCACAATTGGCTCGCCAAAATTCGTCCAACTCATGAAGATTTCAGGTCAAAGCTTGCTATTTGCTATTTCAATCTGTTTGCCAATTAAGTGGTCAGCAACAGTGGTAAAACTAAAACGTACTTCCTGCCTCTACCTTTGTTTACTGATTACGCTTGACAAAATCTGACTGATCCGATTAAGTGTGTGTCTGTCGCTCCACGTCGTTCAAACTTTCTTTGTCTTATAAGACCTATAGACCTCAAGAAAAGAAAGCATTTTGAGCTCAGAATGGCGTCGAGCCTGGCAGCCTCGGTCCGCAAAAATTAAGATACAGCAATAGCAACCCCGTTTGCGCCAAAATGTAGACAATTGAAGTGGCTTTCGCATGAGCTACAACCATAAACATCGAGCTATCATAAGTTCACAATTTTACGAAAAAATCTGTTTTGATCGTTTCTACAAAATCCTCAAAAATTGGTTTTGGATGAAATTTTTATCTTATAGCTTACCTTGGTTCATCATTGTAGTTCATGCGATAGCCACTTTTGTGTTTCTTCTTCCGTTTCAGATTCATTAGAGTACCCTATTGATAAGTATCCCGTCTCAAAATGTATGACATTCCCTGCTCAGGTGTGCTGCCCCAACGGCCCGAAGTACGAGCATCGCAACATGCGCTTGCTGCCCACAGACATGTGTGGCACCTACGACCCAGGACGCGCGGTGCATCCCTGGTTGGCGCTACTCGCAGACTGCAACGGTAACACTGCACACTGAATTGATCCAGGAAGCGGAAGAAGGGAATAACTTGACTTATCCCCAAATTGAGTTTTTATTTTATTATTGTGCCTTAGAATGGTTTCCATCATTACACCAAATTATTTGACTGAATTCCAAGCAGTTTAGGAGAAAATCCACATGGAAAAAGGGTATAACTCAACTTAACCTCTTTTACAGTCTAAATTTCATTGGAAAATGGAGATAACTCAACAGAAGTCCCCATGAGTCCGTTTGACAAATTGGCAAAAGGATATAACTCAACTTGTATTTTTGTGAATCTTGTGTAAAAAGAATCAACTCAACTTAACCCCCCCTTAATTTTAAATTTCAATTTGGAAAAAAGAGCTAAGTCCAAAAAATACACCAGAGTAACATACACTTTATGTAGACTATTGTTCCACTTGACTTGTCTCCAAATTCCACTTTGTTTTGGAAATATAAGGTGAGCTGACTCTGTTTTCCATTTCAACGGAAAGTGATAAGTCGCAGAAATCCTCTACGGAGTGACCTTACACTTTTGATTTTTTTCCAAAATTTTACTTATGCTTTTTGAAATTATTAACATCTGCAACATTCATTTGTTTTGTTTTAGTTTTCCCTGCTAACAGTTTTTTGTTTCTCCTGAAAAATGGCCAAAATTGAGTTATCCCCTTCTTCCGCTTCCTGGATCAATTACTATGTAGGTTTTCTGCGCGCTAATGCACGAAATTAAACATGCACTTCTTAACGCACGAATTTGTGCGCGGCGATGCAAGATTTCGTGCGCAAGTCTGCAAAAAATCGTGCATTTTCGCGCACGAATTCCTACGTTATGAAGTGCATGTTTAATTTCGTGCATTAGCGCGCAGAAAAACCTACATAGTAATTTAGTGTGTGCAGGAAAAAGTGTGAATAGTACAACATTGGGCGAATCCAGGTCAACTTGAACGGGGTTTGACCCCGATCCCCTCAGAACTTTCTCCAAACAGTCAATTCATTGGTCTATGCCTAAAACCACCCCCCAAAAATTTTTGTTGAAAAATATTAACATTTGGCTGAGCTGTGGCACTTTTCGTTTTTTGGTCAATTTTAGTGAAATTAGTACAATGAAAATTTGAAAAAACAATTTTTTCTCGAAATGGGGATTTTTGAGGCCTGATTTGTTTGATACGAGTTGTCTTATGATAGACCAATGCAATTCCGGTCATAGACCCCACCTCACTCAATTTGCACTGGAGGCTGAAGAATTTCTAGTAATTTTACCTTAAAATCGAAATATTAAACCTTGCCCCACCTTTCAAAATTCATTTCTATGCATGGAAATCTACCTAAGGGCCCTGGCAATAACATATAAAAATTTGGGATGGAGTTTTTTATTTTAAGGAAATCGTTCCAGAAAGCGCTACTTTTGACTTGTCGATTTAGCTAAAACGCATGAAATTTCACCAAATGTAAAGTACGATGAGGTCAATCTTGCTATTTCAGTCTCTTTATGCAGTATCAGAGGCAAATGGAGTATGAGGGGAGTAAAAAAGAACATAAATACAATTTGCAAATGTACTACAAACACCACCTTTTGACAGCTTCTTAATGGGAAGTCCAAGAAAATATAATACGTAATAATATGGATCTGGCGTAATTGTTAATCGATTTTCACCTTTTACTTCTGCTATCTGTCGCATTTTTGTCCACTTCTGTCCTGTCTTTAGTGTCTGAAGGGAATGCCATTTCTTATTGTTGAGCCTCCAACTCAGTTTGGTGATGGAACCCAAACGGCCAACTCAACTTGAGACGGAACGAACCATAGAGAGTAATTCCAGCCCATGGTGGAACGAAATCTGGGCTTGGGTCATGAAATCGGTTCAAGCTTTGTGGGTTCAATTGATACCAGTAGGACATATCAACCCTAGGAGGAAAGTTGCCTAGCTCCAACAACACTTGAGATGTCTACATTTTTCTAAATTTAACAAAGTTAGCGGAAAAATGTCGCTTTCAGAATTTTTGATAACAAAGTTGTTGTTTTCAGTTCTAGCTTGTGTTTCCTTTTTCTGCCTATGCACGGTGTGTTGTCTGCTTGCTTGTTCCCAGGAAGGTGAGGAGATACCGCCAGGGTCGTCGAACTTGATACTAATCACTCCCCTTCCCCTCCCCAATTCAGTCGACATCGGACATAAGGACGCAGGTCAATTTTAATAGTTTTGAGAAAAACGGTTTTTTTTTGTCTCTACCACAGACATGTCAATTTTTTTAAAATATTTTTTTGCATAATGATTATTTAGAAGCTTCTGAATACTAAGAAAAAAACCAGAACATTGAGGGATCTATTTTAAGGGAGATAGACTGACTTGCGCTGTTAGGAACAGTCAAGAAAATCTGACATAACAGCGCAAGTCAATGGATTTTGGCTGACTTGCACCTTTTTGTCAGATAATGATTGACATGCGCTCTTATGAACCATGAACGCCCTGACTTGAGTCCTTCTGTCTGATGATGACTGCTTTACGCTCCTCTGTCAGAAGGCTTGGTTCAATGCATACCCATTGACTTGCACCCTTGTGTGGGATGAAGTTGTTGCGCTGTTATGTCAGATGAACCACCAATAGTAATTTGACTTGCGCTGTTAAGTCTGATGAAGCACTAAAAAGTAATTTGACATGCGCTTTTATGTCAGATGACAATCCAAAAGTAATCTGACTTGCGCTGTTATGTTAGATGAACCACCAATAGTAATTTGACTTGCGCTGTTATGTCAGATGAAGCACTAAAAAGTAATTTGACATGCGCTTTTATGTCAGATGACCTGACCATATATTCACTGAAAATATGTTGTATTTACGATGAATTATTCTCACTAACTTCTATTAAGCAAAGGGTCTTAAATATTCAAAGTAAAAGTGTTAAAAAGTTGTCTTTTGAGATTCTTCTTGTTCTTCACTCGGCCACGACTAACCCAATAGATACTTATATCACCGGGGCCTGAAGTGAAGAAGAAGGACGTAGACCGGAAACAGTTCAAGAAATCGGCCTTTTTCGGGGGTTTTGGCAGGTTGAACTCATGCATTGGATTTATTGATTTGAGAATAAGCACTCGTCATCAAGAAATAAGCGTAAGTTGGCAACTGTTTCCGGCTTTTGTTCTTCTTCTTGTTCTTCACTCCAGGCCTTTGCTGTAAGTGTCCATTGTACAACACGGGGGCAGTTACGCCTCCGAAATTTGCTAGTTGTGAATGAGTGTCCGGTCAGGATTGCGGCTCTTGGCTTGCTTCCTGCCCAGACTTGCTCTCAAACACTCCACGGTCATCGAACGTGGGTGAAGCCGTGTCGTCCTGCGCGTGCTTCTATGAGGAGGACGCGAAGTGGTCGGCCGACACCAACAAGTGTACAGTCGACCCAGCCAAAGGTCTCGCTTCTTGCGACCGTTAAAACTGCCCCCTCCACCGCGAATGTCCTCCCGCACCAGCCCCCGCGCTCCCCCCGGTCCTGTGGAGGGGGTATTTGCAACGGCCAAGAAGCGAGACGTTTGGCTGGGTCGACTTTAGAGCACGACTGGTCCACACCTGCGACTATGCAAGTACACTGATGGACAAAATTAAAGCACCACTTTTTGTTTTCCGAGCCAAATCTGAATGAGCCGGCCGATTTCCGTGAAACTTCGCTCCGTGGTGGTCGAAAGGGTTGTCCACACGTACCCCAAACGGTGGGACCGCGGGTCGCAGGGGGTGGCGTCAAAAGGGCCTAAAGTGCCGCGGGGCAGAAACGGCCGCTGGGTTAAAAAAATGGGGCGCGTACAACACACTTTCGGTGAGGGTATGGGGTCCTGCACCTCAGGATGCGTTCAGAGGGACGTCCTCAAAGCATCCCTGCGAAAAAATCCGCCACCGAAAGCTTCATCCCCTTAGAATCCACCCCTAGACGTAAGGACGGTCACTTAGGCCCCAGGGTGTGCCCCACTGCTGAGAATGGGCGTCCGTGGCGTCAGGTACTCCGTTTGGTGTCCCCAAGCACCCCCACGAGAGCGCGAGAAATTTGGAACAACCCCCACCCCTTTACGGGGGTGGGGGTAGTTAGGCCCTTCTGGATTATGGTTCAAAGGGGTGGAAAAAGCGGCGGCAAATGTTGAGAAATGATTGATGGGGCACAGTCTACCCCAGACTATCGCACAAACCCGAGTTAAACACAGCGCACGCAGCAGCACCGTCAAAAACCACCCCCCACCCCCTGTTGTGCACTTAGGCCCCACCGACGTGGTCCTGGCGTGCGGCACTGATGCAGCACGGCAGGGGAGGTCTGCAGGCATCACATCGAGTCCATCCCGCCGCATCGCAGCCCTCGGGAACGCCTCTGGGCCCCCAAAATGATGAGGGGTTGAAAAATCAACCCCCAAGTTCGGAGGGGTGCACAGGGTGAACCCGTGGGCGGAAAATTTTGATTCAGGGTGGCAAAGTGACTCGAGACCTTCCACTCAGTGGCTGCAAAGGCCCACACCTGCAACGCGTACCGTAAGGGTTCAAGTCGGCGTTCGCGCAACACCCAACCTTTCTTTCCGTCTCGGGCAGATCCGGCCCGCGCCGTGGAGGTAGACAACCCATCTGTCACAGTGCCACTAAATCCGTGCAGATTCCATTTTTTTTGTTGTGGACTGCAAAGATTTTAACATCAATCAAGTTTGGATCACAATTTATGCTTGAAGACTCTCTTTTTCATCTCAAACAAAGGAATAAATTTGGAAGTTGACGAATGGGTTGCCTACCTTCACGGCGCGGGCCGGATCTGCCCGAGACGGAAAGAAAGGTTGGGTGTTGCGCGAACGCCGACTTGAACCCTTACAGTACGCGTTGAAGGTGTGGGCCTTTGCAGCCACTGAGTGGAAGGTCTCGAGTCACTTTGCCACCCTGAATCAAAATTTTCCGCCCACGGGTTCACCCTGTGCACCCCTCCGAACTTGGGGGTTGATTTTTCAACCCCTCATCATTTTGGGGGCCCAGAGGCGTTCCCGAGGGCTGCGATGCGGCGGGATGGACTCGATGTGATGCCTGCAGACCTCCCCTGCCGTGCTGCATCAGTGCCGCACGCCAGGACCACGTCGGTGGGGCCTAAGTGCACAACAGGGGGTGGGGGGTGGTTTTTGACGGTGCTGCTGCGTGCGCTGTGTTTAACTCGGGTTTGTGCGATAGTCTGGGGTAGACTGTGCCCCATCAATCATTTCTCAACATTTGCCGCCGCTTTTTCCACCCCTTTGAACCATAATCCAGAAGGGCCTAACTACCCCCACCCCCGTAAAGGGGTGGGGGTTGTTCCAAATTTCTCGCGCTCTCGTGGGGGTGCTTGGGGACACCAAACGGAGTACCTGACGCCACGGACGCCCATTCTCAGCAGTGGGGCACACCCTGGGGCCTAAGTGACCGTCCTTACGTCTAGGGGTGGATTCTAAGGGGATGAAGCTTTCGGTGGCGGATTTTTTTCGCAGGGATGCTTTGAGGACGTCCCTCTGAACGCATCCTGAGGTGCAGGACCCCATACCCTCACTGAAAGTGTGTGGTACGCGACCCATTTTTTTCATCCCAGCTGCCGTTTCTGCCCCGCGGCACTTTAGGCCCTTTTGACGCCACCCCCTGCGACCCGCGGTCCCACCGTTTGGGGTACGTGTGGACAACCCTTTCGACCACCACTGAGCGAAGTTTCACGGAAATCGGCCGGCTCATTCAGATTTGGCTCGGAAAACAAAAAGTGGTGCTTTAATTTTGTCCATCAGTGTATTTCAAAATAGCCAAATGTGAAAATGGGAACACCTTCACTGCAATTTGGATGGAAAGACTTCACGCCAAAATATGGCGAGACATTAAAGTCTCGCCAAGATTTGGTCAGACCTGATAGTCTCGCCAAAATTTGGTCAGACAAAAAAGTCTCGCCACAAAACGGAAGTCTGACCCCAAAATGGCGAGAGTTTTGTGCTAGGCCGTAACCGTCCGGCGCATTACGGCCTCTAGGTAGCGGTCAGACACAAAAGTCTCGCCATTTTGGGGTCAGACTTTTGTGTATGACCATGACCGTTTTGTGGCGAGACTTTTTTGTTTTATTCTGACCAAATTTTGGCGAGACTTTCAGGTCTGACCAAATCTTGGCGAGACTTTCAGGTCTGACCAAATCTTGGCGAGACTTTAATGTCTTGCCTCTGGAGTGGCGAGAAGTCTGACCTTTGGATTTGTAGTGTTGCAATGCGATTGGCCTGGAATTTTTTTTTAAGCAAATTTTTCATTCCTGTCCAGATGTGCTCAGAAGGCACACTGAAAATCTATGTGTGTACTCAGTACACATTTAAGTGACCTCTGTCGGCTTGGTCTCGACCACGCATGACCTGGTCGAGTGAGTGCCTCGGCCTCATGGAGACCTAACAACGTCGTGGTTTTTAGAATTACGGAGGTGTCCGTCGGATCAAGGCACGCTTCTCACTGTCTCTCTTCTTCCCCCTGGAGGAAAATTAAACTCTATGTTGTAGCCCTAACAAGCTTCTACACTGAAAATTTAAGTGTGTACTGGGTACACACACAGGTCATCTAAGTGTGTACTGAGTGAGTACACACAGAGCACTTCAGTGTGTACTGAGTACACAACGATTTTCAGTGTAGTCCATTTAAGAATAGTCGGTTCTGTGCTTTACGCACCATTGCGGCAGTACCAATTCACGCAACACGTTCGAAAATTTTAGACTGAAAGTATGACTTTTCAGCTGCAAGTCGGAGTGACTTTTGAGGCCTATCCATGTCTGAATTTTAACACTTCATGTTCTGATCAAGATGAGCCTGAAAACTAATAACGGGTTTGTGTAAATGTACTTCACTACCAGAAGTCTGTGAATTCCGATTTTTCATTTCAGTGTTCTAGCGGTAGTCACTTCTGCAATTTCTCATTCCTCTTCTACAAGTTACAAAACCTAATTAAAAGTCTGTGATTATATGGTTTAGTCTGAGTAATGTTTATTTTCTGGAAAGGAAATGAAGTGTAAAGGAAGCATCTGCTAAAGAGTCAGACTGCACGGGCTCATAACGATTTTACGGTGGTCGCGATGAAGCTGCTGACTTCTGCATTCGTGAGGTCGGTGGCGACGGAGCCTCCCCAGGACATGAGAGCGTACAGCAAGCCGCCCGCGAACGCCGCGCTGCCTGACTGACCCTGCAACATACATTGACAAAAGTTTTGTTGTTTGTTTGTTTTAACCATTTTCACAGAGAACAGTATAGTTCCCTTTCGGTCATCGTCATGTTTGAATTAAACAAAACACACATACATTAAAATTAAACAAGTTGCGGACACAGAGTAAAACAGAGAGTTAAAATAAGTCCTTATTACACCGAATGTACATTTTAAATGCCAAAATTCCTCCCTATCATAGTATTCTGCTCCCAACAGCCATTTTCTTAATTTTTATTAAAACTCTTCAGTGATTTTTAATTTTTTATTTCCTTTAGTAATTATACATTTTTGTGCATTACTCTTCCGGAGATCTTTTATGGAGATGTACCATGTGAATGTCCTTTTTTTTTCTAGGATTGTATTTATGTAAATCTTAATTTGTGTTATTTTTCAGAAATTTGAAGGCATAAACTGCTGATTGCATTATACAGACTGAAATTGTTGTCATTACCCCCCATTTCTTACAAAGTCCCCGAAAGCTCTGCTTCTTCCTACCTCGTCCACATTCCAGTAGCTTTATGGCTCTTTCCTGTTTCCTAAAATTTTTTGCCACTCTACCTTTATTTAGTTCCTCATCTGCCCAGAGTAGGTTAGTCTTAGAAACTCGCGGAACCTTTACATATTGCTCATTTTGGGCGCCAAACCCGATTAGGCCCGGTAAACAACGCCATTTCAACTTCCGACTTTTGTCTAAAAAGTTGCATTGTAGTGGGACTTGGGCGTAAGGAGGTTAGGGGCCCACACCGAGTACACCTGTCAAAATGCCATTCCTGCTGTGGAAAGATATTTTGAATAATCAAGGGGATATTCGTCATTGGGAACCGATGAAAGTGGACAACAGACGTGCATTTTGGAGTGACTTGCACTACCTTCATTCTGCTTCCAGAATGGCAGTAACCTGTCCGCTCCAGGGGCGTTTTTCCACCAAAGGGGGAAGCCAGAGACTCAAATCAACAAAATAATTGAACTCCTACTAGAAAGAAGTACTGGGCCTATGATAGGTATCTGGGATGCTTTGCGGACTTAAATAGACAACTGAGACCAGGACAAGAACAGTTCATCATTCAATGGAAGGGCAATTCCAGGATTTGTAGGGACTGTACACATCTGAGTCTGAGAGTGTTAAGTGCTCCAATCTATTAAAGAACCGAGCACGTGCTTCACTTGTCACTTTTAAATCCATTTTGAAATACAAGGTAGGTTTACGCCAGACCGCGTCTTGTCGTAACAGGCTTCGCGATGTCTCGCGGCCTGTTCCTCCAATCCGCGCCTGGCGTACCTACCTTGGCCTGTGGCGCTTAGGGTGTTTCAAAAAAATTTGATTTTTGAAAGGAGTCGGTTTTTAGTTTCATCTAGGTCCCAAATGACCTCACACCAAGTTTGAACGAAATCGGTTGACATTTACCCGGTGCACAGCGCGAGAAAACTATAGGTCTCGCTTGGGAGGTCCCCCACCTCCCCGCGTCTTTCCGCCGCGACTGTGGCGCCATCTGAGATCCGAACTCTCTGAAATTTGGTGGCGATGTTCCTTGGGGCTTCCCCTATCGGCCTGCGTGGTTCGGGCTCAGACTCTGCCTCACGTGACTGAGCGACAGGGCCTAAAGTGCATCAAATTGTTTTTTGAGGGGGACGGGGGGAAGGAGGTGGGTGGTGTGCAATTGGCATGTGGGTCCCTTCAACCGGTGCGCCAGCTAGAGATATACCTAGTCTGAACACTAAGCGGTTCACAAAGTCACAGTAAAAACAGGGAAAATATGGAAAACATGCTGGGACGCGCCTGGGAGGTACGCAATGTCGGTGACAAGTACCGTGGTTTGCCTACTTCCAGGCGCGTCCCCGCATGTTTTCCATATTTCCCTTGTTTTTACTGTGAATTTGTGAACGGCTAAGTGTTCAGACTAGGTATATCTCTAGCTGGCGCACCGGTTGAAGGGACCCACATGCCAATTGCACACCACCCACCTCCTTCCCCCCGTCCCCCTCAAAAAACAATTTGATGCACTTTAGGCCCTGTCGCTCAGTCACGTGAGGCAGAGTCTGAGCCCGAACCACGCAGGCCGATAGGGGAAGCCCCAAGGAACATCGCCACCAAATTTCAGAGAGTTCGGATCTCAGATGGCGCCACAGTCGCGGCGGAAAGACGCGGGGAGGTGGGGGACCTCCCAAGCGAGACCTATAGTTTCCTCGCGCTGTGCACCGGGTAAATGTCAACCGATTTCGTTCAAACTTGGTGTGAGGTCATTTGGGACCTAGATGAAACTAAAAACCGACTCCTTTCAAAAATCAAATTTTTTTGAAACACCCTAGTGGCGCTAGCCTGCCTTCGGCAGGCAATGCTTGCCCATCATCAGTTACTTCTGATTTGTTGCATGCTGGGGGGCTCCGCCCCCCAGACCCCCCTTCACTCTATATAGAGTTGCTTCATCTACAAATTACACGACCTTGACCCTTGTAACTTTTCAACTTGTCAGGTTGGGGGGCTCCACCCCCAAGACCCCCTTTCATCAAGACAGGAGAGATCTACCTGCAGAAAACTCGATTTTTCGCCACTTTTTAGGTGTTTTTCGGCTATTAAAACCGAACCAGTTGAGCTAGGAAAGTGAAATTTTGCGTGTGCCGAGCCAAGAACATACCTAATAACCCAGCAAAATCTCAGCCAGATCAGCCAAGCCGTTCAGGAGGAGTAGTGTACACACACAGACAAACAGACAGACAGACAGGAAAAGTTTTTCAACCCCACTGGAGTAACAGGCTTCGCTATCGCTCAGCCAATTATGAAAATTTCGGCCAGTAAAAAGACTTGTGAACAGGGTATTTAAACGAATCAGGTTTGCTTTGTTGACAGTAAAGCTTCAGCACTTTCGCAGCTGTTCTGTAGTCCTTGTCTGACACCGGAAGTGTCGAATTGCAAATTGTCTGGTGCGAGTACCCTTTATCCCCTAAGAGTCACCTTTCTATTAAACATACGGAAAAAAAGTAAATACTGTAATCAGTAAACATAGCTCTTAGCAAGGATGCTTCTCCTTCATTTGTTTGATCATGTTATACTTGGAGTAAGCATCCGAGCCAAACCTCTTAATCCACATAAACTCATCCACATATTCGAAGAGAAACTTGCATGCAGTTCATGACATTTTTGGTCCTGCAATGCTTCTTCAGTTTGTTCCAATGGCCTTCAATTAAGTTAGTGCACACGCCAGTGGGGCTCTTAAAATTTTTGCTGTGGTTCACAGTTTTGAGATTATAGCCAACCCTTCACTGTGGCAAAAAGGTACGGAAAATTCTGTTAATTTTTTTGCCAGGATTCTCCGTAGCCCTCTTATCAATATTCTCCGTAGGCTCTTACAGTATTCTCCGTAGGGCCGTACAGTATTCTCTGTAAGTCCGCACAGTCTTCTCCGTAGGACCTGGAAGACTGTTTAGTCCTACGGAGATCACTGTAAGGTCCTACGGAGAATACTGTGCTGTCCTACGGAAAATACTGTAAGAGCCTACGGAGAATATTGATAAGGGGGCTACGGAGAATTCCCACAAGCTGTTTACAGAATTTTCCGTAGCTTTTTGCCACAGTGTTGAGAGGCCATTGTATACACTGTAAGGTCGGGTTTAGTGGCCTGACTAAGTCAAGTTAGGGTCCCGTCCTGACTAAGGTGTTGGTGGCCTGACTAAGGCTCAGGGGTTAGTCAGGCCAGATTATAGCCGGCCGTTGATGAGGGTTTGACAGGTCCCGGTGGCTCGCTCCGGCGTTGCAAAAGAATCAGTGGAATCGGATTCGAACCTTGGCTTATAGTTCGGGGGCAGTGGTTGGTACCACTACGCTACGAAGCTCGCTGAGGAGAGAGCGATCCTGGAGCAATCTGTAGCCGGGCACTGCCGGCCGGCCGGGGTTCCCCCACCCAGGCATGCCGCCACGCTCCGCCACGCCGCCGTGAAGGTGCAGGTAGCCGAGGCCAGGCCCTCTGGCCTGACTAAGACCCTCGCCTTAGTCAGGCCAGACGCCCCCTTTTCCTTAGTCAGGCCACTACACTCTGGCAAAAAGTAACGGAAAATTCTGTAAACAGCTTGTGGTAATTCTCCGTAGCCCCCTTATCAATATTCTCTGTAGGCTCCTACAGCATTTTCCGTAGGACCGCACAGTATTCTCCGTAGGACCTTACAGTGATCTCCGTAGGACTATACAGTCTTCCAGGTCCTACGGAGAAGACTGTGTGGACTTACAGAGAATACTGTACGGCCCTACGGAGAATACTGTAAGAGCCTACGGAGAATATTGATAAGAGGGCTACGGAGAATCCTGGCAAAAAAATTAACAGAATTTTCCGTACCTTTTTGCCACAGTGTAACTCCGACCCAACAGTGTACGCCTTCCAGCAGTCGGTCCAATTAGTGGTGCCTGGCTTAAGATGACGTCGGATCTCAGGGATCATGGTGGCACTGTCACGCTTTTGAACGTATAGGATGGTACCTTGGCTGATCTATATACCAAGCACCCAAGTTGTTTTCACTCGTTTGCCTCTACTTTACTTCCTCTTCGCCACGAAACTCTCATCAATTTGTACGGTATGGCCCTCACCACCTAATGTCTGCTGTTCGCCGGAGTCAGGAGCTTCCAGAAGCAGATTGTCCGGAAGTAGCAGAAGTACTGTACCATGGTCACTTTCCTTAAATTAGTGATGTTCCGTGCAACCTTAACACTAGTGTGTGAGGCCCACAACCACAGAAGCCACATAGCAATACAAGCCTTAATTAAAGCACTTGTCAATATTGCAATCGTCGCGTCTAAATACCTTTTAAGTCCTTGTTTTTGTTCAGTGTTCTTTGGGTCCTGGAATCTAATAAGTTAAAGAAGAAGGCCCTCTGCCTAAAGCATTCCTTAGGACTCAGTTTACTAAATAAAGCGTAAACATTCTTAAGGGACCTCACTTCACCAAGCATGGTCATTTTAGTGGGGGATAGCCGCAGAGCTGTATTTGACGTTTTGACAGGTGTACACTGAATGGTCTCCGGACGTGGTACTGCCAATGGCGCTGGGGGCGCGGCGCCGACGCTCGGTTGTTCGTCAACATACCGCCCCCTAACCTTCCTACGCCCAAGTCCCACTAAAACGCAACTTTTTAGACGAAATTAGGAAGTTGGAATCGCGGCGTTTTCCGGGCCTAATCGGCTTCGGCACCCAAAATGAGCAATATGTTTAGGTTCCGCGAGTTTCTAGGACGAAAATCAATGATTCAGTAATACTTAACCTTATCACACCCAGATTCTGTAAGCAGCTTGTTTTAATTCCAAGGGGAAATGACTGTAAATTTCGGTTCAAAAATCTAATGGATTTCATTCGAATGACGATGAATTTTGGGCAAACACAACTGAATTTTTAGAAGAACTTCGATGAATTTACATGAATTTCACATATTTGGTGTACAAATTTTTGGCTGAGCGATAGCGAAGCCTGTTACTCCAGTGGGGTTGAAAAATTTTTCCTGTCTGTCTGTCTGTCTGCGTGTGTGTGTACACTACTCCTCCTGAACGGCTCGGCCGATCTGGCTGAGATTTTGCAGGCTTATTAGGTATGTTCTTGGCTCGGCACACGCAAAATTTCACCATCCTAGCTCAACTGGTTCAGTTTTTATAGCCGAAAAACACCTAAAAAACGGCGAAAAATCGAGTTTTCTGCAGGTAGATCACCTCTGCCTTGAAGAAAGGGGGTCTGGGGGGCGGAGCCCCCCAGCTTCGTCAAGTAAAAAAGTGACAAGGGTCAAGATCGTGTTATCTGTAGATGAAGCAACTCTATCTTGAATTAAGGGGGGTCTGGGGGGCGGAGCCCCCCAGCATGCAACACGTAAGAAGTAACCGACGATGGACAAGCCAATGCCTGCCGAAGGCAGGCTAGCGCCGCAGGCCAAGGTAGGTACGCCAGGCGCGGATTGGAGGAACAGGCCGCGAGACATCGCGAAGCCTGTTACGACAAGACGCGGTCTGGCGTAAACCTACCTTGTAGTGTAACCGTCGCTGTACTAATTTGACGAGAGTTATCTCCCCCTTGGGTAATTCTCCGTAGCCCCCCTTTCATTATTCTCCGCAGGACTATAAAACCTTTCAGGTCCTACGGAGAAGATGGTACCGCCCAATGGAGGATATACTGTAAGAGCCTGCGGAGAGTATTGATAAAAGGGCTACGGAGAATCTCAGCGAAAAACATTAACAGAATTTTCCGTACCTTTGTGCCAGTGAGGAGGGATATCTCAACGCATTACACTATACATGTATGTTAGGTTCACAGCGTTAGGAATCATAGTGGACAGACAGTTCCTATCGATTTCAGAGTAGAGTTTAGTTCATTTGACCAACGTTTGAAATAAAAACGTGCCCCTGAAACGTCCAAAGTATACAGGCACACCGACATCATTGCCAATTGCAATTTTCTGTTTTCAGTCACTGTGGAGCAAAGCTGCGTAAAATTCTGTTGACAGCTTGTGGTTCTCCGTACCCTCCTTGTCAATATTCTCCATAGGACCTTACAGTCTTCTCCGCAGGAGAACACAGCCCTCCAGGTCCTACGGAAAATACAGTAAGAGCCTACAAAGAATATTGATAAGAGAGCTGCAAAGAATCTTGGCAAAAAAAATTACCATCATTTTTCGTATCTTTGACACAAAGGTGCAGGTCTTGCCGCATCGTGTCTCTTACCATGTCGGGGGTTTTCGCCAGACAAATCAGTCCCGCTGGGATGGGCGTGAGGACCTTGGTGCTGCACTGGTCGCTCGCCATCACGGTCACGCTGTCAACCTCCAGGCGGGAGGTCTCGGTGGGTTCCGGAGGATTGCCCTGCGGCCGAAATGAGTGGACATTCAACACACTATAAAATGTTTATGTACAACTTTGAACGTGGTGATGTCAAATTTTAAACTTGTGTTCCGTCACCTTAACATTTAGTGTGAAGTGACGACAGGCTTCAAAACCGAATGGAAAATAACAAATTACTCCAGGACAGACCGGGGCCTTTCAATTCATGAATTGCAAGCTTGCAAGCTTTAAATGGGGGTTTCCCAAAATGATAATTAAAAAAGTGTACTTCGGAGATGCTCTAAAACGGGAGAATATAACAAGAACGGACACGGATGAAATATAAAAGCGTTAAAATTATGCCCTTGTAAGGCGTTAGCCACTTACGCCCCTGGATCGGCGTGAATCGTAGTGTCTTTTGGAAGGGCCTTTAAATTTTGCTTACAAGTCCTTTAGCACTCACGCCTTGGAAGGCGTAAAAGAGTGTTTATACCTTTGTTTTACCAGTGGAAGTCACAAACTACCCATTCTTGAGAAATGTACGCGATGCCTGGACCTTAGCCGCCGCGTACATTTCTCATAGAATGTGTCATTTCCGAAGGAGCTCATCCACTGCGTGTATTACTCATAGAATGTAGCATTTCTGACTCCCGTTTTCGATCCCCGAAGTACTTCATCGACTCGTCTCAACAAAGTAAGAAGAAAATGCCTTTCTTTCACCAGTGCACTTCAAAGCTAATGGTAAGTTTTCTTGCCAAAATTTGACAAGCTTGGCCCGGAAATACTCCTCAGCTCGCAAAAATTTGGCAAGCTTATGAAGATTGCCGACTAAAGCAAATTTTGGCATTGAAAACGGCTTGCCAAATTTGTGGCAAGCAAACTAACCACCTGCTTTGCTGTGATGTTTGGTGGGGTTTGTTACTCACGAAGAAGTACACGCCCCAGCCGGCCAGCGAGAGGGTGCTGCCCACAGCCGGCCTGCTGCCCGCCACACTAATGCTGCTGGCCAGCCCGTTCAAGGTCACGGGGGTGGCGAGCCGCAACACGGCCACGTCGAAGTAGTAGGAAATGCCTAAGGCGCCGTTCGTGCTACTGAAGGACGGGTGCTTGCGCAGCGCACTCACGCTGTGCTCCGTCCCGTTCTCGCCGGTGGCCCACAGCGTCGCCGTGCCAGAGTACACCTTCACGGTCGAGGCATCGTCGCTGCAAGAACATCATCTCGGTCGTTGGTGCGAGGAGAATCAGATACACTCTGAATATAGGGTGCCCAGAAACTAGGCGCCTTTATCGCCCGCCCCACTTTTTAGGGTGGCAAATGTCGCCCAGTTTCTGGGCACCTTTGTCGCGCAGTCTCGGGGTGGACTAACCATAAAGGAACCAGCCTTCGCCCATGGCTCAGCAGCGACTAAGGTGCCAAAGGTGCCCAGATTCTGGGCCCTGGAACTAGTCACCCTGGAAGTAGACACCTGTGCATGCTCTACCATGAGAGAAGGCCATAAAACCATTGGCCCTCTATAGTCGTCCCGAAAGTGATTCTTGCGACCGTTGCAATTACCCCCTCCACAGGGCCGGGGGGAGCGCGGGGGCTGCGGGTGGACTTTCAAGGTGGTGGGGACAGTTTTAAGGCGCTTGCCCCCCTGCCGGACTCCGGCGATGGCTAAAGGAACTTATTTTGTGTATTGACGGGGAGTCGTTTTTGCGAATACTCCGTGCCATTTTCGTTCAGGTAGTGTAGCCTTCTCCCGAGAGATGGCACTACAGTCAGGTACTTCCAAAAAATAAAAGGGTCCTAGTTCTGGGTGGAAATCCCTATACCTGCCGTGCATTCTGGCCGGTGACGGACAGCGCGGTGCGTTTTGGCAGTGTCGATGGCCAGACAGTGCGGCGACAGTGCGGCGCGGCCGGTGCAGCCCGGGCCGCTCGAACAGATGTCATTGTCCGTCTCTGTCTCACCCGCGCAGTGCAAGCGAGACGGCCGAGGCGGGGCATGGAGGGGGAAGCAGTGGCCGACTGGCGAGGCGCGCGGCTCACTGTGGAGTCCGATGCGCTCCAGTTTCCAAATTTAAAATTTGAATGTTGCAACTGAGTGGTGGCGGTTGGGTACCAACAATTTCCTTTTTCTTTTACGATCATTTTGACACCAGTTCAACATCGATTTGAAATCGGGGATAAAATTTCTTCTACGGCCTTCAGCTCCTCTTATCAGACTCTGAGGATGAAACGTGTCACCCCTTTCCCTTCGCGTCGTCCTTCTCGCCAAATTGTGGCCAGCGCGACGCGTTCAAGTCGCGAGGGACTCGTTGGTGGACTGGCTGGATCGGAGTCCGAGCAGGCCCGGCACCTCAGCCGGCGCGCTCCAGGTCAGCGTCTGCAGCTCCGGCTTACCGCGGGGGGAGAGGGGGAGGGGGAAGGCGGCGAAGACAATGCCCGGCTGCAGGCGAGCTGTCTGTCATAAATGTGTCGCGCCGCACCGGCCGGCCTGCACCGAGTTCGGATACCTGCCACCGCGCCACTGTCCAGAGCCCCGCCAAACGACCGCCAACTTCAAAATGGGTTGAAGGGGGGGAAAAACAGTGCTTTACTTGTGCAACTCACCCTCAAAAAGTATCAATGATAGAACAAATCTGAAGGTAGATTTGTGTAGGGGAAAGACGTGCGCATTCAGTGTGACCCCTTGGGGAATGAAATTCCGAGATCATGTCTCTCAAATCTGGAGTACAACTTTGAACCAATTTTGGCCCAACTTTGACCACCTATTTGGACTACAAGGAGTGTAGGCACGAACCTCGGAGGGGTCACACTGAATAGGCGCTCATTTTTACTGCACGAATATGTAATTGGTTTTGATCCACGTATCGTACTTTTGACGGGTGAGCTGCACGAAGTTTGGACATTTCAGGGTTCAATAACTTTGTTCAAATTTGAACTAGCGTCATAAAAATTTGAGAGGGGCATCATAACTGTGTTCCCAACATGTGTTCCAAATTTGAGCCTAATCCGTTAACTTAAATTTAGGGGGGCAATCGCCTTAACGGGCGCAAGAATGAAGACCTTTGGCTGCTGGGTCGACCAAAGTCTAGGGCAAATTTCTTAGCAGATGATACCGTTGTTAAAGCTAAAGCTGCAATTGCAATGAAGGTGTCAGCTTGATTTTACTCTTGAGATGGTTGGGGCGGGGCCATGCGTGCGTGAGTGACTTAGTGAAGCCGGCGCGGGCCGGAAAGGGCATTGTGGGGGGGGGGGGCGCACTCTCCACCGCGGCAGGGTGGGGCAGATGCACCCGGGTTAGGGTGTTTCAAAAAAATTTGATTTTTGAAAGGAGTCGGTTTTTAGTTTCATCTAGGTCCCAAATGACCTCACACCAAGTTTGAACGAAATCGGTTGACATTTACCCGGTGCACAGCGCGAGGAAACTATAGGTCTCGCTTGGGAGGTCCCCCACCTCCCCGCGTCTTTCCGCCGCGACTGTGGCGCCATCTGAGATCCGAACTCTCTGAAATTTGGTGGCGATGTTCCTTGGGGCTTCCCCTATCGGCCTGCGTGGTTCGGGCTCAGACTCTGCCTCACGTGACTGAGCGACAGGGCCTAAAGTGCATCAAATTGTTTTTTGAGGGGGACGGGGGGAAGGAGGTGGGTGGTGTGCAATTGGCATGTGGGTCCCTTCAACCGGTGCGCCAGCTAGAGATATACCTAGTCTGAACACTAAGCGGTTCACAAAGTCACAGTAAAAACAGGGAAAATATGGAAAACATGCTGGGACGCGCCTGGGAGGTACGCAATGTCGGTGACAAGTACCGTGGTTTGCCTACTTCCAGGCGCGTCCCCGCATGTTTTCCATATTTCCCTTGTTTTTACTGTGAATTGGTGAACGGCTAAGTGTTCAGACTAGGTATATCTCTAGCTGGCGCACCGGTTGAAGGGACCCACATGCCAATTGCACACCACCCACCTCCTTCCCCCCGTCCCCCTCAAAAAACAATTTGATGCACTTTAGGCCCTGTCGCTCAGTCACGTGAGGCAGAGTCTGAGCCCGAACCACGCAGGCCGATAGGGGAAGCCCCAAGGAACATCGCCACCAAATTTCAGAGAGTTCGGATCTCAGATGGCGCCACAGTCGCGGCGGAAAGACGCGGGGAGGTGGGGGACCTCCCAAGCGAGACCTATAGTTTTCTCGCGCTGTGCACCGGGTAAATGTCAACCGATTTCGTTCAAACTTGGTGTGAGGTCATTTGGGACCTAGATGAACCTAAAAACCGACTCCTTTCAAAAATCAAATTTTTTTGAAACACCCTAACCCGGGTGTTCAACTATTTGTTGTTTTATGTCAAGAGTGTCAAAACCACCTTCATCCTCGTCCAGCACTTCATGCAGGGTAGGAAACATTTCAATATTGTTGCCTTTTACCTTTCTGGTACCTTCCCTTGGAACCCAATAATTTTATCTTTGAGAGTCAGAATTGTTGTGTTGCGCCCCTGCAGTCCAGTTTGGGGTCGCGACCCCGGGGTTGGGAACCACTGCCCTAGGATGCACCGGCCCAGCGGACACGACACGGAACGGCACGGCCTACACGGGACGCCGAAGCTAAATGCTGGCTGATGGCTGTTTCAACGATTTCGCACACCCGACCCGCCCAAACATGTCGCCGCACGGGCCCTGGGCAAACGTGATCCATGACTAACCGGGTGCACTGTTAAAAATCCACTGTAATATTACAACACAATCACCTACAGTAATGCTGTTTAATAACAACCGTATTGTTTTGTATCTGAACGGGAAACCCATCCAGAAACAGCACTTTCGTTTCATAACAAATTCCTTGTCAAGTAACAATAATGTAATCGTGATTCAAAACAGTTGTGTTGTCGTTGAACAGGTTTCATGTTTAGAAACAGCCTTTCGCAATCTTAAAACATATATTGTTGTCAGTTTACAAAAGTCTTGTTTAATAACAGCACGATGAAATCAACACAAATGTTGGGAAGACATCGTCGAAGACACCAAAGAAGTATTGTTTTATTACAATCGAACTGTCAGAAAACAGCACCGAGGGCTACAACATGCTTGTAATAAAACAAGTCGTGTTGCTATCAAACTTAACAGCATAAGTGCTGTTAATTTACAGCACTATTTTTAACAGTGTGTGCCGCTGCCGTCATAAGGTTACCATGGGAACAAGGCTAGCCAAACAGACCAGCCCGCCCAGCCAGCCTAAGCCGTGCTTTTCATTTCTAAATTTCTAATGGCGAACTTGGAATCGAACCCTATAATTTTACTTCCATCGCTTGACCTTGAGATATGGCTTCAGAACCGACTAAACCAGGCAGAAGAAGATAGGTCCTACTATGAGACTCTTCTCGAGTTCGTAAGGAGTCCAAAACGGAGGTGCCCAAAGGTGCCCAGAAACTGGGCGACATTTGGCACCCTAAAAAGTGGGGCGGGCGACAAAGGCACCCAGTTTCTGGGCACTCCATATTTACAGTGTACTGAAGAATGTCAGCAAACACTGCGAGATATAAAGTAAAGAAGTTGTGGGTAATGTGGACCACTTTTCGAGGTTATTTTAGAATTACTATAAACTGAAAGGTGCTGCGGTCTTGCCAATTTAAATATATTATCTACCATCCTTCCGGCGTGTTTTGGCCCAAACGGCATGTTATTAGCCTGCTTCTTTGCAGAGTAACAGCTGTGCAAAGAATGGTCCGTATTACACCCTAGTGAGGGGTAATATGGACTCCTCCCCCCCCCCCTAGAATTTTTCAGCTATACAGGGTCATGCGGGTTTACAATTGGCTCCAAAGTTTATCGTTAAAAGTCCTAAAACGCCAAAAAATACGTTTCTTAAAATTTGCTGTAAATCGAGCTAATATCTCACTGTGAGTCTTGGTGCACCGTCTTATTGGCATTATTTGAGCCACTACATGCAAGTTCGGTTGTTAGAGCCTGAAAATGTTTTCGAGGCCTCCGCTGGGCGGCAGCACCGATTGCAGAGAAGAATGTCGAGGCTGGTCCACATTACCCACTGTGGTCCAAATTACCCGCGTTTACGGTACGGAACGTGTTCGGTCAATAATTTGCGTCGACCGACGGTACCAGCCTTACTACACTCTAAATGTTTATGTACAATTTTGTACGTGGTGATGCATAATTTTAAACTTGTGTTCCGTCATGCATGAAATTTGCATAAATTTATGCATTTTCACGCATAATATTCTGCAAATTCCCCGCATGCACAAAATCGTGCAAGTGGCACGTACAAAATTCTACATAAACATTTAGTGTATAAGGAACATCTGTTCTTTTCTTCCGTACCCGACTACATGAGTTTATACAGAACAAGCACGGACGCTCCATGCCTTTTTCCATACCATATTCGTCTCCATGTTTTCTGTACAGACGTACGGATTCTTTCTTACAGTGAAGTCAGCAGTGTTCCCTCAGTTTACTCTAATAGGGTTGTCCACTCATTACGTTCCCCTAGGAGGGACGCGGGACGAGGACACTTGGTTGTCGGTCAAAGTTCCTAAACCTTTGTTCCCACTGGACAATTTTCCCAATAATATTTTGCCCACTTTGGTGTTTTCAAAACCTGTCGTACCAATATTTAATTATCCCACGGATAAAATTTTCCCACCGACAAAATTTTCCCAATGACCAAGGTTTCCAGATTTATTGGCTGGGGGGGATAAAGCAATCGGACAAGGAAAGGAGCAAGGATCTTAAGCTGGAAATGATAGCCCAGAGTCCTCAGGTAGTCCAGCGGCGTGCCGCTCTGCCTCTACGTCTCGAAGGCAGAGACGACGGTCCTGATGCGATCCTGGAGGTCGCGCCACTTCTTCTGGGGAGCCTTCTTTACTTTTCTTCCCATTCGAAGCTCCAGGAGGACCGTTTCAGTGTCCCCCTGCTCCTTCTGGAACTGTCCGAGGCGAAAGGAGATTCTGGAACCGTCCTAGCCAGATTTCGGAACTCATCTGTTTTACTAAGGTCGTGAAGGCGTCACGTGAAGGTTGTCACTGCTGTCGCTGAGCTCTCGCCTTTCCTCGTGCAGTTCGATTACGTGCGTCCCTTCTTAGCGCCCTTGCGGTAGTACATATGCCCCTTGTATAGCAACTTTTTCCCCCCTCGCCGAGATACAATAACTTCGGCCCGGTCGTCCATTGCCGCCATGGCCCACCGCGCCCCAGCAAACAACAATCAGCACAGTGGCATAGTAGTCAGAACTGCCAACTGTGTGTCAATTCCACTGGCGGGAAAAATTCCCAGTGGGAAATATGGATTGGCAAAATGGGGAAATACTGCAGTAGCAAAACGGTCTGTGGAAATAAAATTTTTGGAATTTAGAAATGGGGAAAATGGGCCCCAACGCCTTCAACCTGTTAAGTGCACAGTTCCACGGCACATTTGGAAATGAAGAAAAGCTGATAAGTCACAGAATCATGGTGGGCAGCACCAACATCCCTGCAGTGCAGAGTGGTACAGATCTTTAAAGGATGGTCCACAATGCAGGGATGCTGTTGGACCATGAGAGAAGGACGCCCTGGAGTCCCAGCTTTTTCGGGCCGGGACGCCGCCTGGCCGAGGTTTGCACCACTTTGCGGCTAAACGGCTCATCGCACAACATTTCTGACTAGCTCAGAAGATTCAGGAAGGTTTTACGTGCCCCGGCGTCGTTACATTTTGATTTGGTCAACCGGGGACCGAACGCGGCGAGCCTGAAGGGCGGCAGTGTGGCGCGGCCGAGGGTCCGCAGCGGCTGGCTGCCTGGCCGCCGGCTATAGCTATACCCCCACCCTACCGCTTGGTGAATATTTCGTGCCTTTTAAAAAGAAATAACGGTGAAAACGACACGTTGTCTTCGTCTAAGCGTGTAATATCACACCTAACACAAGTTTGAACCAAGAAATCGGTGTCTACTGGCCTGTAGCGGTAGGGTGGGGGTAGCCGGCGGCCAGCCATCAGGCAGCCAGCCGCTGCGGACCCTCGGCCGCGCCACACTGCCGCCCTCCAGGCTCGCCGCGTTCGGTCCCTGGTTGACCAAATCCAAATGTAACGACGCCGGGGCACGTAAAAAACCTTCCTGAATCTTCTGAGCAAGTCAGAAATGTTGTGCGATGAGCCGTTTAGCCGCAAAGTGGTGCAAACCTCGGCCAGGCGGCGTCCCGGCCCGAAAAAGCTGGGACTCCAGGGCGCCCTTCTTTCATGGTTGGACTACGAGATGCTGACGAACTAGACAGGAAAGCATTTCTGAAAAACGCTCTCTAAATCGAAGCGAGCGGCGTTTCGCGCTACAAATTGGTAACCGGCGGTTTTAAACTGATTTGACCCCGCTGAACGCGAATCGCCCGCTTTTTTCTGGTTATCACTCCCGAGATTTATCAGTGGTTTGATTTTTTCAGCTCTTAATGAAATTGCAACTTCAGAAACTGAAGAAAACCCCTAGCATGTTGATAATATCATTACTACCTCAGAAACTGAGCAAGCTGCATCACACACAGGTATGTAAAAATGTTTAAGTAATTTTTTCCTTTGTGTATGTAATAATGTGATTTTTTTTAAATTTTAAGTAACGAGAACTTGGATAGACGACTAGTGGCAAAACCAGACGTGTTTTTGCCTGGAGTCAGGGCTTGGCTTGGCTCGTATGACAAACTCATTAAGTCCAAATCAGAAAATGGAGTAGCGTCTCCTCTCTTTGATATGAGGGAGGGTTTGAGAACAGGGAAATATATAAAGAAACAACCTTCCCGTCGTGCCGGACCACACTTAAGATGAAGCGTGAAGTTCGCTCAAAACGCTTAGAGCGCCAGGGAAGCGACACGAAACGCTCCATCTCCGTGGCGGAGCCCGTGTCGCTTCTCTAGCTCTTTGTTGGGCGAGGCATTTTCGACTGGGTTCTCAAACTTGCAAGTGTGAGACACGAGTATTCCCTTTTCAAACATGAGAGTCGTGGCCTTGAACCGTAGGAAATCATAGGTTTTCAACAGAATCCAGGTGTGGAGCAAATTTGGTCCCACGAGGATCTACAACATATTTGGTCCAATGGGGACAAAATGTCCCACACTAACCGGACTGTCACACGTTTGAATTAGCAGTGCGTATTTCAGTCGCTTTGTGTTAACTTTGTTTTTCAGCAAGGTCATGTCGGCACCCATGGTGCTGTTCTGTTCTTTCTTCCATTCAAACTGAGTTACTCACAGAACGCAGGCAGCTGCCGTGACAACATGCGTGGTGGACAGCAGGGCACCGCCGCAAAGACGAAGGCTGGTGGAACCGGATATTGCAGCTTTGACTTGAACCTAAGAAATAAAATTATATCCATCTGTCGGACTTGCAATCGTCGTAGGCCAGTTTGGAAATGGGGCATATTCGGTATGTCAAATGTGGAAAAATGATTTTTTTTTTCAAATCTCCAACTTGAAGCTATCACGTGACAGACCATAACGGTTTTGCCGATTAGGGAACGAATTTTACGGTACAGAACATTTTGTTTTGGCCGACACCGTTTAAAGATATATGCTTGGGTACCTTCAAAGAGTATGACCCATGAGTGTCTCCAAAAGTCTACCGAGAACATAATCATACCTTTCTGGCCCGCCCTTCTTTTCCTAAATTAAGAGGACTGCTGCAGGTGCATCTGTTCACGTGAGCGGAAGGAGGGTTTCAGCTGGCACGGCGTGCAAGGGTATTTTTCGAATCGGGGTAACAGATACACCTGGTCCTGACGTTACCAGCCGCTTCTACAATCCTGCCAATGGCAGGATCAGGATGTTAAAAAAAAGGGGGTCGACCGACTGAGAATTTTTTTTGCAGTTTACACTGTGCTAAAATGGTACGGAAAATTCTAATTCTCCGTACCTTTTAGCCACAGTGTACGATTGGACTGGCCAAGACGTTGGTCTGGCAAATTCGTGTAAGTTTTTGCCTTCGCTGAAAACCTATCGGCGTGACTTCGTGCCGCTGCAGGGGCGTGACTTAAGTGCCACGCCAAAAAACGGCATGACAGAAAAGTCATTCAAAAATCTGCGTGACTCAGAAATTTACGCCAAATTTTGGTGTGAATTTCCGGTCCTGCCGGTGTTTGGCGTGACTTTTCTCATAAGACGCAATGACGCGATAATCCGTCAATTTACCACATCATTTCATAGGTTCACGACGCAATGGAGTGTTCAAGTCGTCGCCGATCGAAGATCGAAGAACAAGAAGAAGAGCAAAGCTAAAGCTGGAACTGGCCTCAGGAACTTAACCTCCCAGACTTCTATGAGTGGACTATTTCTGTGGCGTATCTCCTTCAGGAAATAAAAATATTTGTCGACATTTCTCGTTGGAACCGGGTTTGATACCTACTCCGTTTCTTCCCGGCTTCCGGTTTTGTTCTTCTGTTAGTTCTTCGATCGGCGACGACTAGAATGCTCTATTCGCAAGACTACGAAGCAGCTCATACTTCAAGGAATTCTTTCTTATTTTAATGAAGGAAACCTTGTAACTTCACGAAATGTTCCCTCCCCAAATATTTCTCGAATGGAATTTTTTTAACAGTGTGCCGTTAAGTGACTGTCCGATGGCTGTCGACCCGAGGATAGTCACTTATTTTCGCAAGGCGACACACAACATTTTACTTACCATAAAATGAGCCTGTGACGCAGGAGTTTCTGCTGCTTCTACAACCACATTCCCTGTCAAAAATTTTAAAATATCACAAGACAATTTAAGAACTTACCAAATAGCTTTAGACATTTTCGTTATAAGTTACCAAACGATTTCGAGTCCTTGGCGGAAACGTTCTAATGCGTTACCAAATGAAGACAAATTCAATCACAACCCCTCAAAGGGACTGCGGAAGCAGTTTTGAATATAATCCAAGCGCTAAATTGTTCATAGATTTGGACAAATATGTCCGTAACAAGGGTCCCCAGAAGGTCCATTAAGAAGTCTGTAGAAAATGAAACGAGTACGTTCATAAGCCATAGACCTTTTTTTTACAAGGTCTGGTGGCAAAATGACATGTCCTACCGATACACAAATTTGTGAACAACTATACTAGTATTGCGAAAAAGCCACGGACAATTCTTTGGACATTTGGTAATGCCTAAAAACGTTTCCACCTAAGTTCTAATATTGTCCCAAGAATTTGTCCATAAGAATTTAAGCGTCCAATTACGAACATAATGGTGGGTGCATAAGAAGTCATTAATCCCATCTAATTTTGTCTCGTGAATGTGTAGTCACGGAGAGTCGTTATGATGACATGAACACAGAATCATTGGACTCTCGACCCAATACGAATGAGTACCTGTCAGCGCAGTGAGAACGAGGACGATGTACACGAACGCCATGGTGCCTGGTGGGGCTCAATGAAACGGCTACTTGCAGCGGACGTATATAACGACAGACCCAGAGGCTCGTATGAAGGAAATATTAACGACCGTGACTGTCATGACTCTGCTGCAGCAGATAGGGGCCTAGTTGGATTTTGGACGCCGACCCGGCGTGAAGGCCCGAGTATCGTGCTGTCGAGTCGTGGCGGTGAGGGAACATCGTGACGACGACCTACTGCGAACGCCTTGCCGTGAAAAGAGAAGTTCACAAAAAAAAAAAAACTGTCCTGCAAAAAGGGATCATAAAAACAACGTTAATAATATGAAAACGGTTGTACTCCAGTACAACTATACTGGATTACTGCAATAATTCTATTTACACATTAAATATCTACTCAACAAATCGAAATACGCCCACATTGTATGCTCTAACTGGAGCGTGCCTGAAAGCACGCTCTAGCTAGCGCATGCCTGCCAAGCACGCACTTAGTGCATACATGCTATGTACACGCTTCCTGAAGCATGCATCTAGTGCATAAGGAATAGGGAGTTGCCCAGAGCGTGCCTGCAGGCATGCTCCAGTGCTCGCTCCAGTGCACAGCGTACGCTCCTCGATTTGTAAAGTATGGACATTTATTTGTTCATAGAATCAGGATCAATTCAGCTGTCCAAAACGGGCTCAGAACAATTATTGCGAATACTTGTTGTGAGGATTGGACTGAAGAAGGATACACTGCAAACCTAACTGCCTACTAAGTACACACTTACAATTGCGTGCTTGCAAGTACGCACTTACAAACGCATGCTTGGCCAAGTACACACTTACAAATGCATGCTTACAAGTACACACCTACAAACGCATGCTTGACGCCGTACACTCTAAATGTCTTACAATGAAATCTGACCTATGTTATTCGTATGTTACAGTGAATTCGGCGCAAGCATAATACGAAGCAATATTCCTTCGTAATACGAATCTTTTTAGCTTTTTAGCAGATGATACCTTTACTACACTTGAAACATATCTAAAACTATTAGACACATAAAGGTGTCAGCGTGCTTTTACTCCCAAATCCAGAAATCAAGCGGTATCTTAACAATAATATTAGGGTGGTGGCTGCCGGGCGGGATCGTGAGTGTCGCATGGCAGGCAGTCTGCGCGGAACATAACCCTCA